GAAAGAAATGTCACTGGACATGATGGCATCGGAACGTGTTTGTTATGTTCACTGCAACTTCTGCAACACCATTTTAGCGGTACAAAAACCTCGACCTTTCTATCTTTATCTCTCCCTCCATTTCCCAATTCTTTGTGTGTTTATTTATTTATTTTTTCAACAAACTCCCCACTCTCTGATTTTGTGGAAAATTGTATATATATATATATATATATTTTTTTTAAGTTTTTAGTGACTGCCTACACCGTACTCTCGTTTTCAGCTGATAAGACCAGCAAAAAATTTCTCACTTTTTTTTTTATCAATTCAGACTGTGGAGGGAAAAAGAAAGATGTATTTCAGAAACCAAATTGTTCTTTTTACTGTTGGAATCTTGAATACTGGGTTGCAAATTTTGCGAGATCTTTTGCTGTGTGTGTATATATATATGTTTTTTTTTTCGATAAATCTGCATAAAAGAGGCTGCTTTTGAGAACTGAGTGCATATTTTATGAGGAATTTTGAGATGGGTTTTCATCCAAACCCTCAGATATGAACAAATTGTTCTCGAAAAGTGTAGCGGAAAAACCCAGCCAAATTTAGCATGGAAAAAGTTGGCATCTTGAAAAAAATTGGTTTGAAATCTAGCTTCAATTGGGGAAGTGAAGGGCTTCTAGATGTGAGAAATAATGGATCGAGAATTAAAAAGGCAACACCTAGGGTTCTTGATTCTTCCCAAAGTCAAGCTCAAATTTAGGTCTTTGTAATTAATCACGAGTGATGTTGATTTGATCTCTCTCTTGTTCATCTTTCGTACATAGGATGTCAGATGAATAAGCATCCTAGCTCGTAACTAAATCCGATCTCATTCTTATAAGCTTCTTCAAGCTCAGTTTTTTCCGACAAACCTGAATATAGATCAAATAGTTAAGACATCGGTAACCTCACCCGGAGATTCTATATTCTAAAAAAGATCCAATTTCTTGCTAGTCTCAAAAATGTGTGTCTCTCCATTTTTAGGGAGAGAGGAAAAAAAATTGCTTTTTTTATTTCTTAAATTTTTAATTTTTGCCTTAATCATAATACACATCCTTCGAAAAGAGTCTGGTAATTTAGAAACAAAGTTTGGCGGTTTGTTTTGTTCTTGATAGCAAAATGTGAGAGTGGGAAAAGCAGTAAATAAAATTAGGTATAGTTTGGTGACGAGGACTGTTCATCTTTTCTCTCATTCATGGCGGAAAAATTTTGGTTGCTGTAATATGGCTGACCCCTATGGTTTCCGTTCCCAGTCATGTCATTTTCTAATCTTCTCTCTCTCTCCCACCTAAATTTTCTCTCTTTTATCCTCTTGCTTGCGGAGCTGTCAGACTGGAAAGTCAGGAAGAGCCACAATGAACACAAAAAAAAATAGAGATTTTTTTCATCTACCCATTGCTGCCGAGTCATTCTCGCTTTTTTATTATTATTTATGCTATCTTTTGAGGGTGTTTATGGATGTTGTTTTTGTGTGTGTGTTGGGGCAGGTAAGTGTTCCATGCAATAGCATGTTTACACTGGTGACTGTGAGATGTGGGCATTGTTCAAATCTGCTGTCTGTAAACATGGGAGCTTCTCTTCAAGTTGTTCCTCCCCAAGATTCTTCGCAACAGGTATATATATTGAATTGATTAATTAATTAATTATGGAATTGACCATTTTGAAGTGTAAATTTTGTATGTGTTTGCTGATTTTAATTATATATAGGGTCATAAACAGCAGCAAGTTAGCAGTACTGGGGATTCGAGCAAAGAGAGAGGGTCTTCGTCTTCAAAATGCTCAAAAATTGACTCTGCTGAGCGTGACCAACACAGAATCCCTCCTATTCGCCGTGAGTCTCACTCTCTCCTTGTTTTTATTTCATAGTGAAAGTTTTTGAATTATAAATCACGTCTTGTTTTGTTGACAATTCAAACTCTTGTTTTAAGATTTGATGAATATGAATCATATGCTTTTGGCAGATTTGTATTTTAGAACTGTTTTTAGATGGAGTGATTTCAATGGCAGTGAAAATTTTGAAAACAACTTTTTAGATTTTGAATTTGAAACTTAAAAAAACTATTAAAAAATAAAATATTTTGTAGATATACTTATAAAAACCCATTTTTTTTTGGTTAAAATCAAAACAGGTAAAATATAATTATAGTATAATTATATAATATTGTAAAACAGTTAATTATTTAACAAAATGTTGTGTATATATATATATTAATAATATTTTAGATGGATGGTTATTAGCTATAGAGTAATTTACAAATATATCATTATACCCCTTTGAACTATTTTTTCAATTGACATTTAATTTACAGTCTGCTACCAAACATATATCAAAAAAATACGGTGGATTTTTCATTGAATCCATTGTTTTTATTAGTACAACAGGAGTTAGAATGGACTCAACTTTTGATAAGAAATAAGTTCTTTTAACCTATTGAGATAGATTGACAGAAAAAGAAGAGTTAATTACTGTAATAGTGCATGGGAATTTAAGTAACCATTTAAGTTATTTCAATCATAGTTTAAATGCCAAGCCAAACACACCCTAAACTGCTATCTCTCTATTGTCTCTCTGTGTGTGAGTGTACATTAATTAGAGTAATCACCTAGTTTATGACTTGGAAAAATAATTGAGGTCCATTTGATGAAGTTTTGGGTTTTTTTTTCTCATTTGGTCAAGACCCACTTTTATGTAACCATTTGATCAAGACCCACTTTCTTTTTTCCTTTTAGTTTTAAACTATATGTTGATTATATGACTTTAAAGCCATTTTTAGAGAAGTTCAAAAACATATAATCATCATCAAAGCAGCTTTAAAATGTTTAAACCTTTTCTCTCCTGGCTAATTAAGGAATTTCTCCGAACCATATAACTTAAAAATCTATTTCTTCTCTTAGTTCATATATAATGAACAAGGGAACTCTATCAAAGTTTTCTTTTGTTCTAGCAAAACAGACTACATATAAATAAATATATTTCTTCTCTTAGTTCATATATAATGAACAAGGGAACTCTATCAAAGTTTTCTTTTGTTCTAGCAAAACAGACCACATATAAATAAATATATTTCTTCTCTTAGGTTCATATATAATGAACAAGGGAACTCTATCAAAGTTTTCTTTTGTTCTAGCAAAACAGACTACATATAAATAAATATAAGAGAAACATACCGAGGGAAGACTTTCAGTTCAGAGATTGTGAGAATGTGAACAAGAGAAGCAACAATTTTGATATCTTCCGAGAAATGGTAGAGTTATTGTACGTTCTATATATAAGAAAAAAGTCGATTGTTTCTTTTCAACCACATGAATGACAAACTATATATTATAAAAAGCTATATATTTGTAGTTTTTTCTAGTAGAAAGAGGTAGAGGGTCAAATATTTAATTAACTCCAAAGGAGGGCAGTAGTAATTACAAAATGACATGGCATAGAATAACTTCAGCAAGGCAAATAAATGAAAGAAAAGTTTTTTTTTTTCTTGGGTTGAATTTAATGGCATGCATATGGATGGCCCCATCTAGGATGGTGACGATACATGCATAATAGAATCTGACCCATCAAAATCATGGGCCATTGCTTATACACATATATGTCATTCCGTATGTATGTATGGTATCCATGCCATGTACTGCTTATTTTGGTTAACACTTAGCACAAAAATATGATAACTCTATCCATACCCTTTCTCTGTATTTGCTCTTTCACTCATCTGTGATATGTCACTGATTTCTGATCTGCCCTTTTTTCACTCTTTTTTTCAACTCTATTTTCCCATCACATTGCCTTTTAATGAAACACTTCTTATTGGTTTAACATGATCATTTGTGTTATATAACAACTTCTTGTATACTGTGATGATTTCAGTATCATATTTGTGTTGGTTTTGTGTTTTTTGAAATTATAATAATGGTTTTGGGTACTGTTGGCAGCACCGGAGAAAAGACAGCGTGTTCCTTCTGCGTATAACAGGTTCATCAAGTAAGGTGATTGCTTTATTAATTACTTCGAGCCTTAGTTTTGCTTAATGTTTTATTTTTTGGTTGCAATGAAATTAATTGAGAAATTTGAGGACTTTGTAGAGAGGAAATCCAAAGGATTAAGGCTAAAAATCCTGACATTAGCCATAGAGAAGCCTTTAGCACAGCAGCTAAAAATGTAAGTTCTTTGTGTCTCTCTCGTTCCCTCGTTCTTGGTTATGTGATTTATCATCTTTTTTCTGCCTTGGATTTCTGTCTTTGGGATGATGTTTCATATCATAATTTTGTAGTCATTTTTTAAATATGTTTCTTATAAACAAACTAGTTAATTTTTTTTAGAAGAAGAGGTAATCATTTCATTTAAAGTATGCCATAAAATTTCAGTTTTAGTCCTATTTATACTTAACTTTTAAAATATTATGATTAGTCCAGGAAATATGTAGTGTAATTTGTTTTCAATAATGTCATATATATATATATATATATAACAGACCATTTTTCTTAATAAATGTCATATATATATATATATATATATATATATATATATATATATATAACAGACCATTTTTCTTAATATATTTTCTAACCCTAATCCCACTAATATATAATATCGAACATTGGTTGATTTAAGTAATTAATTCAACTAATTTATTGGGTGTGTTTGGTTGCAGTGGGCACATTTTCCTCACATCCACTTTGGACTGAAGCTGGATGGAAATAAGCAATCAAATTAAGCTTGAATTTTAGCAGGAGACATTATGGTGGGGGATCAGATCATAAGTCCATCCAAATCTCCAATGGGGTTCTGCCACCTGTTAATTCTAGAGATAATTATGACGATGTGTCAGTAGATAAAAAAAATATTAAATAAAACACCTTGTTTTTTTTTTCCTAAAACTGTGTATCAATTTAGATCTATAATTCCAAAAGAAATGAGGTTGATGAAGCCCTCCTGCCCTGAACTCCATTCTCTGTAGGAAAGGAAATTACTTTGATAACCTCACCCCCCATGTCCTTTTTAATAGGTGTGATGTAATTTTATTTTGTCCCATCTCTCCTTGTTAACAAGTTGAGATTGTTAATGAGATTACCATATCTATAATCTATTTATTATTGAGATTATTCTTCATTGGTAGAAGAAAAAGTTATGTATTCGAACCATTGCATTCAAGTTAGATATCTATAAATGAATTAGATTTCGCGTAACCAATCAGCTTAAGCTTTTGATAGTATTTCTGGATAGTGGACCACTGTAGTAGCGAATGAGAAATATATTTATATAGACGAGCACGAGAAGGAGCTTATTAAGACTAGAGGTAGCAGTTTAATTTGAGAAGCGATGTTGTTTTAAGGGTGGGCGGGCATGATGGATATTGATCGTTACAGTGTTTGGCAGAAGAATTCACACCCACCCATGAGAAAGAGAGAGAGGATATGATATGATATGATGGTTACAGTTCTTGAGTACTGTGTGTTTATATGGGTGTCAGGGTGACACAGAGAGCAGATTCATTCATTTTATGTAACGAAATTCAAATCTAGCTTTCTCTATTTTCTATTTTTAAGAAAAAAGAAAAGAAAAGTGGGATTGATTTTGTTTTGTTGGCACCGAAAAGACATACAGAAAGATATGAAAAAAGGCATTTGCGCTTTGCATTGGGGTTACAAACAACAGCTTTTTGGAGGAGGGCAAACCAAAACCCTTTCCCTTCGCCAACCAAAATCTCTTTGCATATATTCTTCCATTTACACCCCCACAATATTCCCCTTTTCAATTCCCTCAATTGTTCTTCTTCTTTTTTTTTTCTTTTGTTATTTAAATATATAATTTGCATAATCATACCCAAATACTCACACACATATATATATATTTATTTATCTTCCACAAATTTATGGACATAACAAACCATCTAAGAATATGTCTATCTATATTGTCCCTATAAAGAATTAAAACACCCACATGCACATATATATATACACTCAAACCCTATGTTGTAGAGTTGTGATTGGATGCTTTCAGAAAATATCTCACCTTTAGAATAAATTATAAAGAAAAAAAACAAACAAACAAAACAGCCAATGTGCTCTCATTTTGAAACAAGTAGCATAAAATATAAAAATTTGAAATTCAACCCAACACAATTACTTTTACCAATCAAAATCTTATAATTTTTTTAGAAAATATTCACGAAGTTTGTTTTGAGCTCACCAATTTTAGGTTGGATACCAATTTGAACTTACTGAGTTTTGATATCATATCAATATTCACTGATTTAATCTCAAAATCAATTGACAATATAGGTGATTTTGTTAGGTCTCCTGTTATTGTTTCAACATGGGATCCTTAACAGAAATATCATAATTAATTAAAGAAGAAAAAAAGATGGATCAAAATCTTACCCACATTTTTTGAATTCCACAGTTTGCATAAATATAAAAGGTTTGAAACCCTAAAAAGAGATTTTGAAACTATATTTAAGAAATTGCATGGTATTGAGTATTGATAAGAGAGACATGTGCTGTATTCCAATTTCGATTGGCCAATCAGATCCCATACCATTTTTTTACACATTTTTGTTTGTGTTGTACAACATACATAAATCAAAACCCACTTCTGGTTTTGCAGTAATTCAGAATGCAGAGATTAATATTTAATTTAATTTAATTAGATTGAAAAAAGTCGAATAAGAATAATAATAATAATAATGATGATGATGATGATGAGAAGAGAACACAGTAGAGAATCTGAAACGTCAAATCATGTAGTTGGTTGAGAGTTTTGGAGCGATGTGGGAACTGGAAGGGAGGCTTTCACTTCATGAATGGGTCCTGTCCGAAAGATAGATGAATGGATGGTTGGATTTTACTTTTACTTTACTTCCTTTTTTTTAAAAAAAAATTAAATTATTATTATTATTATTAGCATTATTATTACAACACATTTGGAAATGTCTGTTTCAATGAATATGTCATGTCAGTTGTTCATGTCTTTCTCTCTCTCTCTTAAACTGAAAACAGTGTTTCAACTCATCTCTCTCTCTTAAAACAGAAGAAAGAGAGAGATATGAGTTGGTTTTTATTTGCTGAATTTGATCAATATAAAATTCCATTCCCATTCCCAGCTCTGAATTTGATTTTTATACCAATTCTCCGTGAAACATAAAATACTGTGCTTCTTCCAACGATTTTTGGTAAAAGATTTCATTGATAAGATAAGTGATCTAAAAATGGTTTAATAGACCTATAGATTACTCTATTCATGAACCAATTGATTTTGAGATGAAACCACGTGAATGTTAATAATACACGATCTTGTCAACTGATTTTTGAGATGGAACCTCATGAATATCAATATGATATTAGAGTCTAAAATTTTAAATGAACATCTGATCAAAAAATGAGATTCGGCCAAGATCAGTGAGCTAAAAGAGACACGATCTTGAGAAGCATGTAAAGATGATATAAGATAAGAAGCCTAACAAAGATTTGTAATAGACATGTGCTACTTATTTCAACGTAAAGAAAGAATCACTTAAATATCTAGAGACGTTTGAGAGATGGGTTCGGAATCTTAAACTTGAAAAGGTAAAAGAGAGTTTAGGAAACTTATGCTTGTGGTGCAGATCTAAGAATCTGATTTGAGAAAACCGTGTGAAATAATTGGTTTAAGGAACTCTGTTTTAAACACAAACTCCAAAACCGACAAATCCATGCATGGGACAAATATAAGTTCGACATCTTAAGCTTAAAAATATAATTTTTTTTCTTTCAAATTCTTTTAATATAGAGAATTTGTGAGTTTGGAGCCCGGAGGAGCAAAGCTCATTTTCCTTTTCCTTTCAGGGTAAAGCAGACTAACAAAGACTCAACAGCTAAACTCTTGCCCTTAAACACTCGAGTCCATGAGATAGACTAGTCAAACATGTGTTTAGCGGTGTGAGCGAGTTTGTTAATTTAATTATCTAGATTATGGTTTTGTTAAATACCACTGACTACATAAATCTATATTTTATTATATATACAAATTTAATTTAGGCTTATGAAACCTACTCATTTTTATATTTACAAATTGTATAAACTGATGAAGAAATGCATATGCTAACACAAATATTTTATAACTTACTGTATTGTAAAATACATATTATACAAAAACACTCTAAACTTCAACTTCATAAATCGAGGCTTAATTAATGAACAAATCATTCTTAATAAAGTTGTCGTGTTTTTACCTCAATTTCAAGATTCTCAGTGTGCTTTTGTTGACAAAGTGGAGTAAAAAAGAAGGAAAAAATGATCGCGGTCTCTGTAAAATCATAGGAGACTTTTGTAATTTTGTTTTTTGTTTTTTGTATTTTTCTAATTTCACTGAAAACTTTGAGGATTGAACCAAAACAGGGTCTACAGAGATTAAATTTGTCACTTTCTTAGGTCCTAATGTTTTCGTTTCTTTTCCTGTTTTCTCATTTTAATAAAGAAAGATTTAATTTTATGGTCCCAACAGTACCCATGAACTCAACAATAATTATAAAACAATATATATTTTTTAATTTACGAAACAAATTAGAAATGAGAATAAAAAAGAAGAAACTTATTTTTTTTTGTTTTCTTTTTTCCCTAAAATTTCTAGACAATTTTAAAAGTTTTTCTAAAAAATAGGAAATAAAAAACATAAATAGTTATCAATGCTTACCTTTCTTACTAAAATTGAAAACAACAAACAGGAAAACGAGAACATTATTAAACGGGTCCAGTGATTAAGTCGTTCTCGTTTTCATTTTTTGAGAAACATAAATATTTGGTATCTCGTATGATAACAAAAACAAATTTATTGTTTATTGTTCTTTTTTAATTTTTTCCAAATTAACATGTATTGATGAAAGTATTATTTTTTACTTATAAGATGCATAATAAATCTCAAAAAATAAATATAACATAACAAATTGGAATATTTAATTTGAAATTTAAAGTAAAACTTTTACTTTTTTTTTAATTTAAAATTTAAGAGAAAAAAAAACAAAAAAAATGGTTACTTAAACAGGTTTGAAAGAAGAAGAAACAAAAACACTTCTCAAAACTCAAATTGTATTTTTATTTATTAAAAAAAAAAAAGAGAAAACAAGAAACAAGAAATCAAACACTTTTCTAAGTACGGTTAGGTAGGATTAATATACGTCTAATTTGAGGTCTTTAGAATAATTTGAGGAGGACGCGTTTAATAATAATTTTACGTATGGGGTTGTTAATCTAGTAAATTATTTTTTTCATTTTACGCCAACTATTTTTCAAACGTTAGCCCAATTTAGAACAATAATAGTTTTTCGAAATCCTCCATACCCGAGCAAATCAGAAAACAAGAAAGTAGTTTATGAAATTAGTTACCAAGAAAACAAAATTGTTCTGAAAATGAGAAAGTCCTATTTTTGTTTAGTCTTTTCTTTAATAAAAAAAAAAAGAGACCGAAATTTTAATAACAGTCCAAAACGAGTCTTCGGAAACAAATTTAAGAATTTATAATGAGTATTTTAAAAAGATAATTTGGACATAGCTCAACTAATTAAAACACTCTCTCATCCATTGAATTAAAATTTTCAATCCTACCTGTCGTATTAAAAAAATTAGTATTTGAAAAAAAAAAATAATCAAAACAACCTTTTACACTTTTTTTTGGCTTACAAATAACAAGAAACTCCTTTAATAGTAATTCTTTTATAAAGTGCTTTACGTTTTTCAGAAATAACATAAAGCACACCAGAATTGACACTTAAAATTCCCATTAAAAAATTAAAAAAATATATTGAAAATTTACACATACATATGTAACTTGATAGAAACATTCAGTCCCTATTGTTTATCATAATTTTATTTTGGTCCCTATAGCATTACTGTATTGAATACATGACATGTCTCTTATATACATGGCAATGAATCGGTATTTTTCATTCGGCCTACTTTACAGCTAATTGACCATATTAAGATTATTGGTAGATTTTCGAGTGAGAGTAATGAAAGACAGTTAAATATTCATAAAGTGAATTAAATCGTAAGAACCTAGTTGAAACTTTTAAAAGGACGGAATTGAAATTAAACTCATGATATAATTGAAGGAAAGGGAAGAATGTGAAGGCGAGTAGGAGTGGTCCAGGTGATAGGGGCTGTATAGGTAACCTGCGCTGCAACAAAGAAGAAGGAATTGTCACATCTCACTCAACCAACAAAGGAAATAAAAGAGTTTGTGGTCCAAACTACTAAGCAATCAACTTCTCTGGGAAACCCTCATTTCCTTCGCTCTCTCTACCCATATGGACATTTTCCACCATTTTTTCTTCTCACCCATCCCACTCAATTGCCAATTGATTATTGTAGTTTGTGATTTCACACCATTTCTGAAAAACAAAACAAAACAAAAAACACAAAATTTGACTCCATTCCCATTTGAGGGTGAATACAGCATCACTTTACTATGTCCACCAAACAGTAGTCTCATCCCCTAGCTAAATCAAAGATATGGAGAGTTGGCTAGTTTTCTGGTGGGGAAAAATCCTTCAATGGAGGGTCAAGAGAGACCTTGTTCTAGAAAGAATTTGAAACTGGTCAGAAGATGGAGAGTAAAATTTGAAACTTTTTGTCGAGTTTTTGGAAGATGGGGCACAAAATGGGCAAATTTGTTTGACTCTCTTGCCAATCACTCTCATCAATGACCCATAATCTCTTGAGTTTGATTTTGATATGTAAATTTTGTGGTGGATTTTGGATTCTTTGTGTACTTCTTAATAATTCAAGTGGATAAGTGGTTGGATACTTTGTGCATTATTGATGAGGAATTTGATGCGATGGCAACTAAAGATAAATATTTTCGGCTTAGGTTTATTGGAGATTTAAGATAGTTCAATTTGGTTATATGTCCTAGTTCCTATAGTTTTAAAATTTCCATGATAATCTCTACAATTTGGTTAAATTTCTAGAATATTTGTATTGTCAATGGATGTCAATAATTTTCTTTAGACATAGAGAAGAAAGATAATGAATTGACATTTGACATAAGATACATGTATATGTTAAATTGACATTTGACCCACCATTCTGAATTTCAGGTTTCCTTTTATACTCGAAAACTTACCGAACTTCCTCTATTTTTAACCAATCTCGAACCTTATACAATCAATGAACACTGGCTCATAAACTTGAAATAAAAAAAAAAAAATTTAATCTCTCAATGAGAGCTCCTGTATCATATATTGATATGCCTCACTAGATAAAATGTAGACACAATGACATCAAAATTGAGTAAAGACTGTTCCAAACATACCTTGATTTCTTTTAATTTCATTTCTACTCTTGATTGTCCAATCTGCTGCTGCTTCTCTTCTTTTTCTGTGCTGGGGAATACAAGGAGCATGTGCAAGAATCGATGCACATTGTTCATGACAAGATATTTCTCAATTAATAAACAGAAGAGAGCACTGATGCTTCTTCTGACTAAAGCAGTATAGATACAGAGAGAGAGAGAGAGGCAATAACATAACAATGGAGCAGAAATCATTAGTTTTCGAGTCAAAAGTGCAATGCACTTGCACTCTGTTATCAGTATCAAGAAATTCATTCATATTTTCGTCCTCCCAAGACCAACATATGAACCCAATTACCAGCCCAATTAAAAATTAATACAATGATTAAAAAAATGGATCAAAATCTATCAATTAGGTACTACTGGTTTCTAACAAAAGAATCAATAACACATCAACCTTAACCGGAATGGAGTTTTCAGGAATTTCCTATATAAAAAAAAATACTCAGTATCCTAATTAATCTGCTGCTACTGGTAATGATAATGGTAATGGTAACCCCCAAAAATACATCTCCAAAAGAGTTTGGGTTGAACCCTGAAGAAAACTACGCTAATGTCTAAGACACACCAGAGATTATACCATATATAAGCCTATCCTCTTTCAAAGTTGGCAACGCCAATGAATGTAATTAGTATCCCTAATACCTGTCTGTGATCTTTTGCATAGCATGATGGCATCGGCTTCTTCGCTGCACCGTCTTTGAGCTTGAAATTGTTTCCATTCAACTTTCACCCATACTGAAAACTACTTATATGGTTAAACAAAAGGACCCACATGAAGACGGGTGATCATCATGGTAAGAGTCAATTAGGCATCAAATTTGGAGAAATTGTCATAATCTGCTTCAATTCAATGTAACCTCAGCCAATGGTAAGTTTATCAAGCTAGAACTCTTCTGTAAAAAAGAACATAAGCAGCTGAAGATTTTATCTTCTCCAGGCCGATGGGATAAACATGGCTATCATCGAAGTCGTACCACTGGTCACCTCCTTGCTAGAAAAGAAAAGATGGGGGAAAAGTAAAAGGCAATTAGGACTTGCTGAACCAACAACAATGATCCATTCATGAAGAATTCGAGCATTTAAAATAAATTACAACTAAGAAACGTTAATATCTAAGGATATAATTTACAGGTGATAATCGGGACGGTTGATATGACTAGTATGTATTCTGAACCCAGAAACGTAGTTGATAATACTACTCCCATTGCGGTGAAAAAATAGAAAAAAAAAAACTATCTTGCTAAATTAAATTTAAAAAAATAAAAGACAAGAATTTGAACAGGAGGAAGTGAACAGAAAAGAATGGTTTGTAAGATGGGGAGACCGGAGAGAGGCTAGAATAGACGCGGGAGGTAACTTGAGAACCGAAAATCAGAAGAGAAAGCAAATGGAGAAGGGCCGCAAATTATGGAGAAATCTTCAACCAAAACCAAAGTCTGTTGTTTTCAAAGGAGAAAAGGCTCTTTTTCAACTTTGAGGTAGCTATTAGAGGATAGAAGAAATCCCCATAGGCCATAGGTATCCATGGGATTTCAAAGGTTTTAACTGCGAATTTCCTTGCTTGCCAGCAGTCTTATTCCAGATAATAATTAAAATACCAGTATCTATCAGTCATTTTGTTCTCACATGCAATGCAATCACCTTTCCACCATGAACGCTTGTTCATGATGACAAAATGGCGACAACAATCAGGAACTCGCCATGGTAGGGGTGCACGGGGGGAGGGTGACTTGTCACACCTCGCCTTGCCTCTTGCTACAGGACAGCGCCTGAGCATACCCACAGACAGAGATGATAATGCCATTCCCTATATATGAAGTGAACTATCAATTCTTTGAACAGAGTATGCAGCGTCACGTAGAGTGCCTTAAGAGCACAAATAAGTGAGTCCCAACAGTTGTGTTGTGCCCCACTACTGTATGCAAGTCGTTATTGAGCTCAGAAATTTTCGAGCACCGAAAATCTCAAAGATCGAAAACCCTAATGTTCTGCCAAACTAACTGACACACAGCAGGTTATTCTCCAACAACAAATGATGGCTTGGAGAAGAAAAGAAAAATTAGGACTCGGCCTCTCTAATTGACCAATGGTTTTACTGGAACAATCTAGTACCTGAGCAATATCCGGACAGGATCAGATTCTTGGTTTCTTCAATGGTAAATTATCTCAATGATCATTAACTACATATTAAACTGGCTAGAGGCGAAAACTGTTCTAATTTATGCTTAATTAATTGCTCATTTATTCACAGCATCCAATTAATTGATCGATATAGATATAAGGTAAAAAAAGAGTACAAATTAACCGACTTGACAAATGCTGAGGCATCGTGAGAAAAGAAAGAGTGACATCACTTACATGGACAAATGCTGTGTAATGGCCACCTCCCATGCTCCCATAGTGATTACTGATTGCATAAAGCACATAGCGAGTGCAAGACTGCCCATTCTTATAGGCAACATACATTGATAAATCCAGATCATCAACAGGAAAGTCAACGTATGTCTCTAGCTTGTTCTTCATGAAACGGCTATAAGAGAACCTCTTTAAATGAATAACCAAAATCTCTGGTAATCTCCAAAGATCTAACTTTTTACTGGCTTGACAGTGTTTTTTGCAGCTAGGACAATACCTGAATATATACATGACAGTACATGATATCAGGAAACCAGCAACAGGAAAATGCAACTACAAGGATGATTATTAAATTATCGAAATGAAAGGATTTTAAGATCAGATTGATTCATTTTTCAAATTTCGAACAACCAAAACAGAATTTGAAAATTGGCTTTGTATTAAAATTTTTAATTAAAATAAAATGCACAAATATAAATGCACTGACCACATGTCTTCGGGTCCAAGAGGCTCCTCCTGCAAAAAAGCTTCGAGGCACTTGTATAGAGAAACAGATTCTTGAGGCCTCTTCGTGAAACAGCTGGATTTGAAAACCTCAGGTAACGAGCTAAGAAGGCGTGTGTCATAACGCTCAATCTGCTTTTCTGCCCAGCACACATGCACATATAGCCGCTTGCTGTTTTCCAACCCCACTACAGATTCACCAACTTGAATTTCAGAGCCCTTAATGGTTCCCTTCTCGTCTGTAATGTAAAATTGAAAATCAGCATCTGACGTTGAATCAACTCCATCTTCACTTCTTATGGGATCAATTACACAAGCTGATGTGGAATCTGTTCCATTCTCCATCTCCCTGGTTTTCTCAATTGCATTAATATCAGAGGTATGGTTTTCTTCCGGAGCATCTTGAGCAGAAATCTGGAAGGGACAAAGCAATCTTTTGTATATGTCATGGATATCAGATCCATTGAAGGCATTAGGCAGCTTAGCCACAAGAGGAATTCCGAATGCCTTTGAATACGTAGTACGTTTCCCATTGAAGTACTGCCTGACCAGACAAGATAAATTAGACTCCAGGTAAGCAATCCAAAACAACGAAAACTGTTACTAGCATTCATCTACTTAAATGTAGAAAACATATTTCTACGGACTGATGGTTGCCAGTTTGCCACTGGTCGATTAATAGCATACAAACAAAATTATTATGAACAATCCAAGAACTAGTTTCTCATATGGTTGACTGTTATCGAGTAAATCCCAGTTCAAAATTACAATTTATAGGAGACAAATCACATATGCAAACCGCAGTAAAATATTTATTATTTTCAAAATTTTCTAATCTAACATCACCTGTGGTAGCCTCTCAATCAACCATGAAAGTGACAAAAAGGTCAGAAACGACAGGAAGAAAATGTCAACCAAATAACATATTTTATTTCTACCAAGCAATAAATGAATTCTTAGAAAACCATTGTTAGAACCTCTAAGGGCAATGTCAAACCAGACCAAGACAGTTTTGTTTTGAGGTCAAAACTACCATTTTAGATGGCAAATAACAATATTTAAAAAAAAAAACCACTGTTAGAACCTCTAAAATCAAGTTAAAAAGGAACTTCCACGTATATAAATTTTACATATAAAGTATGAAGTCACGTGAAAACAAGATCCATCTTTTTAGAAATATAATGCACTTAATCTTTTTTTCTTCTGTTTTTTTAACAAGAAACAACTTTTCATTGATATTTGAAGAGGACTTACTCCTCAATGCTCTGATGCATGAATACAACCAAGGGTACTTGTTCATCATCTTTTGCTAAGCGATAAGCAACCAATCTGTCACCGTCTCTTATCAAGGATAAAGAATCAGCTGGATCCTCAAGATAACGTATAATGCGGTTGTTGTATACCTGTATAGAACTTGATGAGTTCAAAGATCATTGAGAATAAAATAGTTCATGCTCTACGATGAAGAAATTGATCCAAAAGCATTCACAATGCAGCCAACTGAAAATTGAAAAGTTACAAAAATCACAATGATATACCTCAGCAACCAATAAAGTCTCCTCAGCTTTCAAAGAGCATGCATTACTAAGGGCTTTTATTAGGTCTTCCCATTTTCCAGACTTTGGAACTGTAATGGTATGTGGAGCTGGAGTATTTCCATCAGTGTTCACAACTGTTAAAGTCATTGTTCGCATCGTTGTTGAAGGTAAAGGTAGTGATAAATACATGAATGGATCAAAGGTAGTAGAGACCTTTTTGCAAATAGGACAAACTAATGTTGACTTATATTGACCCTGCAAGGATGAAATCAAATGACAAAAGCCTCGATGAGACAAGTTAAAAAATAGAAAAGCTTCACTTACCAGACAAAACATAGGCTTGCTCATAGAAAAAAATATCAGAACTTATAAACTCAGATACCTTGAAGGTAACTAATATTCTGAAAAAGTAGATTTGAGTAAGCCAAGAACCTACGTGTTACGTTAACATGCAAGTTTTCAAAAACTAAAAAAAAAATGCTATTCCCATACAGATTCACATGGAGGAAGCCAGCTGTAGGTTATATAAGGAAAAAGAAGGGAGAACGGTATATACTTGGCACACATCTACAATGATGGAGTCATTGCGAGCCAAATGATTTTGCCAATATTCATCAGCTACTTCATTATCTGGTCGTCCATCTCCGTCCTTGGCTTCTACATAAGGCTTCTTTTTCACACGATTGAGATCTTCATGGAGCCCATCCAACAAAAAAGCAAGGAGCTCCTGTAAAAATTATATCGAATCAAACTACAAGACAATGGATGAAATCATGTGCCCAACCTATCGCCCAGAGAAAGGAAATCTAAACCCTACTTAGCAAGAAACTACACTGACTTGAGAATCATGTTGATTAAAGCCACTGAATTGAGGAGCAAATCTAGCAAGCTTAGACTTGAACGTTCTGGGTGCCACAGGACTTGCGCCAGGTGCCCATAATTTCCTCAAAAGATCTCCAAATGCCAAAGCAATCTCCCCCTGAAAAGTTACTTCTCGTTACAGACTTCAAACAGGAAAAGGGAGTAGATGCTTAAAAAACTGAGAAGTTTCTTAGGGAAACATTTCTTTCAAGCTAATGAAAATGATGGTTAGCTACTCATTAGGTAGATGTAATTTTGGTTTTTGCTGTCTGTTATGAATCAGTTACCCCAAATTATTAATGTGTTGGTTATACTTGTAACTGTTTGCAAGCACTCTACTATCTGTTGTAAGCTAGCTTAGTTTGCAAATTCAATAATTGAATAAAAATAGAAAGGGATTCACTGAGATGTAAGACGAATCCACGAGGAATTAAAATCATAGAAAGCGTACATTCATGCCCAATGGGTTGTCATGATTTATTTCTCTACCATAGTCACCAAGAAAGTAGTCAACAAGTTTCGGTGTGTGCACTAAGCACTGCAGAGCACTGTTCATGAAACAGGTGTTCCCAAGATTTTGCAATCCTGACAATCCTAAAGAACCTGCTTCACGAGAGCTTCCAGAAAAAACCGAAGAATTTACACGGAAGCAGCTAGAATTCACAGTTCCAGAAGCACCATTCATCATAAGTGAAGCGCCAGATGAATTTCCCAGGATAGAATTTGCCAATTCATCCTTTTTCCCTTCTTTGCACTTTATAAAATCTGAAAGCCCATATACTTGTAATTCAAGTAGAACCTGTGCCAAAAATAAAATATAAGAAACATCATTTCAAGAAAGAAACATTTTTATTATAATCAAGTTGATTACTGTCCTATTAGCAGAAGGCAAGTTTATCGAAATTTCATATTATTAGGGACTGGGGAGGGGGAGGGAAGAAAAACCAAGAAAATGATTTCTCATATCATCTTCTCTAGTTCAATTTATTTAAACTATAAAAATGGTCACTTCAAATTACGTATAAAGTATGTCAATGTCAGATAAGTTACAACTTACAAGTATCCAATACTAATTATTAGTTTGATATGGAGTACATATGCTCCTAGTAAAAGACGTTAAAATAATGTCTCCACCGCATTATAATAACATGAAAATTTTCAATAACTTTATTCTAAAGTCTTTTTTTTTTTGTACCTTAACCATGAAACCCAGTGGGTCTCTTAAATGCTACAAATCGATAACTCTTACCTCCTAGGAAACCATTCTTATCTTTCTTCGATGCTATATCTTAATTATTTTCTTTCATTTACTCTATGAGCACTTCACTTAATATAAGTTTCATTAATAAACAACAGTGTAATTAGGAAATTCAATATCATGTACACATGGTACAAGAACAAAATAAAAAATACATAATGTTAAAACATCTCATATTTCATGGAATCTTAAAAATATACATATATACTACATTTTCAGAAGAATTTGTGTATTAATGTTATTTTTAACAATATAAACGTACAGTGGAACGCTTAGCCAAAACAGATGGGGGACAAAGGATTAATGACAAACCTCTTGATCTGACTGTTGTTGCTTATTATTGTTACTAAAAAAGGAAATTGTTTGGCCAGAGAAGTCCCAGATTCGCAACTGCGTCATAGGATATACATCTTAATCATAAATATTTCCTTTTTGTCTAAAGAAAGTAAGTGGTATTAAAAGAAAAAAAAGATCATTACCAACTCCGACTCGACGTTGAAGATTTTGCACGCTCTTCTAAACAACTCGACTACATTATCCTGCCAATATAGAAGAAAAAATTAAGGTTTCACAAGCATTCCTCAGATGAAAATAACTATTTTTAAGAAAACAAGAATGCAGTGCAAATATTTTAATTTGGTCACTTGATATGCTAATAAACCATTAGTAAATATAAAGACCAAGAGAGAGACAGAGTTGGTATCAGAGTTTTTTCCCCTCCAAATATAGTCTTTCGTTTCCATTCACATTACAAGTCAATAGTTTTTCTTTAAAAGCTGCTGCTTCCCTGAGACTATGTGATGAATATCCTGGTCCTTGCCAAATAGATGCTAAGCACTTGACAACAAATTGGCAATCCATTTAGAGGCTTAAGACAAGGGGATACAGAAACAGATGACTGAAGTCTGAAATGAATAAAAGGGTATTCCTATGGACCAAATTCTGTATTTTTCCTAACGGAATGCCCAGCAAAGGAATGGGAATTAGAGACAAGAGGATCCTCCATCAACTTTCTTTTCTTGATGGTGGGTGAGGTACCAAGTATTTGACTGATCATCACGTAAAAGGTGAATGGCTAGATGGAATCTTGATAGAGAAAAAGAGAATTTATATTTCCTATTTGCAATTTGTGGATGATACACCACTATTTTGAAAAGATGTGTTAATGATTGAAGATCTATTTTCGGTCCAAATAGTTCTTGGAACAACTACAGTTTGAAGATAAACTTGAAGGAGGCCTCAATGACTGGTATTAACATGGGATTAGAGCAGAGGATGTACCAAGAAATTGGGTTCAAAGTAGAATATATCCCCTTGTTACTTGGCAGTGCCTCACAGGAGGAAAGTGTTTTATGGATTTGTTTTGAAGAAAGTTCTAGTCTTTCTTCATGACTTCAATGTCCTCAAGTTGGTTTTAGCTGTTCGGAATTCGGAGGCAGATAGACTTAAAAAAGAACGGCCGGCCTGCTTAGAAGATTTCGATAGAAGAAAATTGAAGATTCAAGCCAAGTATGAGAAGGAACGAAGGAATCGCTAAGATAAACAAAAAATATGACATTTTGGTCTATGAAATCGAGTACGAGGATATCAATCTCTAAAGATTGGGTTTGTTTTGAAGAAAGTGTTTTATGGGTTTGTTTTGAAGAAATTGTTCTAGTCTTAATTGGAATACTTTTTTGTCTAAGTTTATAGATGCAGTTTTCGTCTCAGTGATTCATTTTTGTATCTTTTTGGTTTCTCGATGGTTCTTTTCTTTTTCGCTCCCCTTGAGAATTTGTATCCTAGAGCAATTTGCTCTCTTTTCATGTATCCATCAAAAGTTTGCTTCTGGTTTAAAAAAAAATGGAGTCCAGTGCAAGAAGAATATGGGGAAAAAAAATTGGGGAAAAGGAAGAGCTCTTATTCACGAAAAGGCTCTACATTATATAAGAAATAATGGCTCTAGCTAATGTTCCTATCTGCCCCGATTGAACAGAATTGCAAAAGAAGCTTCCAGGTTCAGCTTCAATGCCTTCAGTTTGTGCTTTATGTTATTCTGCCAATGAGGACCAACCTCATCTCTTCTTCCTTTGGCCTTTCGCTATGAGTTGTTGGTTCTCCTTGTCCCAAATTTTCATTTCGGAGCTACGGTTTCAGCTTCATCAAAGAATTTTCAAGGACAGGTCCAGAAGTTGGGAAGAGAGATTTGATTTGGCAAAGACTAAAGCTTCTAGATGGTGTTCTCTCTCTAGTTTGTTTGCTAATTGTTAATTTCATGATATTTGTATTAATTGGGAAGCTTTTATATCCCTAGCCTAGCGTTATTATGTTTTCCAGATTTTAACTTCTGTTTTCACTCCTTTTTGGAGTTTGTACCATTTGGAAATTTTTTTCCTTTCATTAATCAACGGTTGAAAAATATGTATCTTAAAATTAAAGATAAAAAAAAGTGGGGGCAGCTAATTTCAAAACCCAAAATCTTCTCATCTTAAAGCACACAGTCTTCCAACCTTCATCCTTATAAGTACGTAACTCTAATCCTCGATTTTTAAATATGACTATACCGCCAGAAAACTAGTACCACTATCGTTACCATCTATCTGAAATTTAAATTACCAAACAAGATGTTGCACTAGGACAGTCACACACATGAATTTCTACTCAAAGCCCTTATTGTTTGGGTAAAATGAAAATTAAAAAGATAATTTACAACTTTGATCAAAAGAAAGCACAACTGATTAGAAATATAATGGGTAGAATAACAATATTTGTGAACAATACAATATCCAAAACAACCAATTCTGTCAACAGCGATGGTTCCATTTACAATAGAATTCCTTTTTCAAAAAAATCAAAATGATGAACGAACTAATAATTTTCCTATAAGAATAGGGAGTGGGAGAATGAAAATTTTCTCCAACAAGAAACGTTATCTATAAGGAGAGAGAGAGAGAGAAATAGCCAAAAAGCCAATAAGAGATCTGACTAGAAATTAGCATTAATGAAAATAGATTTAAAACACATTTTGAGCAATGCATAAGGTCCTAATGGTTACAACTCTATCCAATGATTATACCGACTGGGATAGTTCTAGAATGGAAGAAATTTCAATTGCTTAATTCGTCGAGATTATTTCAAATGAAATTTCGGACAGTGTGCTAGGACATATGTTGCTTCATCAATCACCATACAGGGGTACCAAGTCAGATCCACACATGAAAGTCCACCTGCTATGATGATACTTGCAATAAACTACGCATGTAAATCCGTTCAATTTTACTTCATATTCCCCCCACCCAAAAAAAAAAAAGATATATCACCATATCATGCAGATATGGTTAAAACTGACTAGAAAGTTTTTGTTTTAAATTGTATTAAACACGACCAAGAATCTAAACTAGTTTACCTGCACCATTACTTCTCATGGGACTACTGTTGGCCTATAACATTTCGAGTGAATTCACTCATAGAAGAGTAAACTCACAGGCAGGCAGGCAACCACTAAGATTTAAAGTCAAATCCTCAAAATATTTGATATTAAAGCTCGTCTTTTAACTACTAACTCAACAAATAGTAATTAATGCTAAACACTCTGCGACGTATCATTCAAGTGAATCAAGTCATAGAATCTCTAAGTTCAACAAATCTATATTAGAAAATAGGACCTTTTGTAATTATTTGTTAGGTCTCATTCTTTTGGATTGGAGTCCGTTTCTGTAAGGGACTCCTCTCTGGGTTGTTTTTTTGTAGGCCCTTTTGTTTCTCTTGTATCTCTTTTCATTTTTCTCAATGAAAGTATCGTTTCTTGTAAAAAAAAAAAATTAGAAAAAGGGTAATGAAATGACCTTTTTGCTTATTCTGACTCCCAATAAATTTGCCTCCCGTTGGATAGAAAGCCTGAGTTGCAAAGGATAAACATCTGCTATATTATCTTCTGCAACAGAGAAGCTACCACCATTCCTCGTTGAAGACTTGGAATCAATATGCCTACAACACAAACCACATGGAAACATTAAAATGGTCGTATATGATAAAATTCAGCCGCAAAAAGAGCATCTGTACATAATAAAATTCATGGTTGGAAGAGCACATACGTCGTGTTATGACATGAACAACTAACACCAAAATCCTAGAATTAATTAATTAACTAGTATACGTATAACAAATAAGTAAAATTATTTTAGGAAAAGAGGAGAAAGAAAGAAAAGGCAATCCACATAGATGGAAAGTTCATAGGACTCTGAAGGGTTAATCATTCAATTATTCAATATAATAGGCAAAGACAGGAACCTCAAGTGCTACTATAAGTGATAATGGAGGCTTTTGGAAAACTAAGTTACCTTTTCAAATACAGAACTCAGTTCCGAAACTGAAGATATGTTGTAGAACTTTAATTGGACTAACTTATAAGTTATAAGTTGTAACATTAAAAAATCACAGTGAAGCATGCAAATTTATCAATATTGTGTGTGAACTAAAGTGGGATCCATTTACATACCAAAAAAACCAATATGAGTATTATCACATCAGTTGGCCCAAGTTATTTCGTTTTCTGATCAAGTGACTCTCCAAGCAAAAATATGCAGAACAGTAAACAGGAACAGCTGCAGATAACTTTAGTCATACGTAATCATGGAGCTATAGATGATACTTGATAGGCATCTTCATAAGTTCCTCTATGGAAAACAGAATCAGCAAAAAGAAAAATTCATACTATTGTGATGGGTCCTGAAATTTAGAATTGCAGTCTTAAATGTAGTAAAATCACCTGGTGGCATACAAGTTGAGTCCCTCTAAAATGTCAGTGGATAAATTGAACTAGGAGTGGTTTCATAGCATATAATATACATGCAGCAGAAATCCAGTATGAAGAGACAATAACAAGTTACATTTGCAATAATACAAAAATTTTCTTTTCAAGAAGCATTATGGAATCAGTAATTATGTGATTGCATATAAGCAATCGAGTATTAACTTTTCAAGATAAGCATCGTAATAAACTCAACTTCCCTGTAAATACCATCGCACCATCACTCTTCGATCAATTAACAAACGAATCAGAAATAATTCAATGATTGAATATATGTAATATAACTTTGATCAAATATAAGTCGTGACATGGCACTCACCATTTAAGTGCCTGCACCCACATTTCTCCAGGGACCAAGGCATAATCCCTCCCTGAAATGCCCACTTCACCATTTTCACTACTCTGCAAAGAATCCTCTTCTCTTCTCAGATTAAACACAAGATCCGAGTTGAAAATATTGTTGATGATCTTCATTGGTCCGGCATAAGACGAACCTGGTGATGCCAGAAAGGGAAGTCCTCTCTTCCCATCAGCATCGCCTGTTAAAGAATCTTGCGCGTCCTTCCACCACCTGAAAAATTTAAACCGCAAATTATCTTAGACACTGCGTTCGTATTTTGTCATGATCTCCGCTGCGGGGCACCCTCACATCAGTTCAAAGAGTAAAAAAAAGAGCTGCTTCATCTAGACTGCAGTGCGTAATACAAAAAGCCGAAATGTGCTCACTATCCAACTACTTTCACCATCATAAGGCACATTCCCGTTTCCTTTTTTCAATCTCATCCCACGAAATTTCGCAACTAGACACATGGATTAAACAATCGAGCTTGCCCAATTCAAGCTTCGAATTAAGCTCTAATTCAGATTTGTAAATGCTAAAACCAAAAAGCACGAAATCGAAGTGTCCAGCAATGAATCTACCTGTATGGAACGAAGTAAACTCGTTGATCGTTATCCGAATCGAGGTGCAGGGTGGATGAGGAGAGATCTTCGGATATACCGCCCATGGCAGGGAAAGCGAAACGCTGGAGAGAAGAGCTCAGAAATGACTTGTGGAAGAGCAGATCATTGCAGAGAGGGAGAGAGAGAGAGGGGCACAGACAGAGCGAGAGAAAATGGCGGATTTGCAGAGAAACAAGTGGAGTGGAGCTTTTGTGTGAAGAAGATTGGAGGAGGGAAAAATAAAAATTTCTATATTTCTATTTCTCTCGAAGAAATGCAAATTGCAATCTTGTGGTGCGAAATTACGAGCTTATGTTTTTATACATATTTACGCGGAAAAACGGAATTTAGACACACTGTAAAATCAATGCGGAAACTGCTGCCCGATAAATTTTCATTATGTTTTATATTGTCGAAGAAATACGGAAATTTTGCCTTCTTTATTTTTATTTATCTTTTACGCTGTCCGTAGAAGGAAATAAATCCTTTTGCAAATAAATAAATAAATAAAATTTGTGCACGGCCACACACTTTGATGTTCATGTTAGGGATAATTTTGGTACAGATTTTCCTTTTCCTTTTCTTACATCAATCCCCCATCAGTTCAGCAATAACAAATAATTCAGTTGTCAAAGCAAACATAAGTCAGCAGTAATTGGTATATAACTCTAAGAGGCTGTGAGTTCCAATCCCCTCCCGAACATGTTGTAAAAAAAACAAATAATTCAGTTTAAAATATACATAGATAATATTAAAAATAAAAATTAATTATGCCTTAACGTAATATCTCTGAAATTATTTATAATTAAAAAAAACTTCGAATTATAAGTCATTCTCTTTATCTTATATGAGAAAAACTCACGTTTTATGTGACAAATATTATTAATTATTTTCTTAAAATGTAGTTTAGTCTATATTGTAACCTTTCTTTATCTAAAAAAATCTCAATAATGCAAATACTAATTTTCATAATTTTATTTTTAATAAATATGAAAATAAAAGTTTTATTTATCAAATACTATATCAATATTTATGAGATTACATCTCAAAACCAATTGGCAATAAGAAGAATAACACATATCTATTATAAACAATTGTAAGGTCCATTTTCTTTTCAATGTGGGATCAGTAAATAATGTTTTAATGGTCTATGAAATTTCATGGTTTTTTTAGTTTCAAAATTATGATTGGCTTTGGTCCATTGGATTTCATATTGCATTTAGCATAGTTTTTATATAATATCACTTAAAATCGTATTTTAAACTACATATATTAAGTCTAGAATATCATAATTAGAAGTAGATGGTAGGAGACTACATGCACGATAAACAAACTAGATATGAACACTAAAACGAAATAGATATGAAAATACTATGATGAAGATAAAATTTAAGCCTCGATCATTTTACTGAGGTTAAATTATTGAAATTTTTTTGACCGACCGTAATTCTATACAACATTGGGAATGAACCTAGGATTCTGTTTGGCAGCTAGGAAAGGAAACCCAGAAGGGAAAGAAAAAGGAAATGGCATCCAATTCCAGCGGGGAGTGTAAGAAATGGGGTTGAAAAGTGAAAAAATAAATAAAGCGAATAACAACATTTATTATTGTTATTATTTTGGAACATATAAAATATCCATGATGTGAATATTGCCAACAGATATAATTTATAATAATAAGGGAAAAGAAGAGAGACAGAAAAGTAAGAGCACCGTAATGGTGGTCAAGATCTGGAGGCAACGGAAATGTACCCACATGCCACGTGATGTTCCCATTGGAAGCTAACCTAAAGCAACCACCAAAGAATATTTATAAGAACAAACAAAGCATTCTACATTGAAAGCTTTCTTAAATAATACCTATGTATATATCTGCATAATCTTATATATAATCTTTACATTTTTCGTCACATCGTCTCTCTCGTAACTTTAAAATTTGTCCATTAATAGCAAATGGGTTTCAAGGATCATTCAAAACTATTTTTAAAAAGGTATCAAATTAACACATTTTAAACCATGGACGATTGTGTCAGATAAGATTGAGCAAGATAAAGAAATATATTTGTGTTTGATATTTCATCACAAATATGAAGTGAAATTCGAATTTACGATCTTTTACGAACGAACTTTCATTAACGTATATGTCATATCACTCCATTTGGAGAATTGAGATGGGTTAAAACAAACTAATAAGATAGAAGGTGTAAACAGAATAATTCTCATTTCTAGATTATGTAAGGAAAAAAATACTTATTTTGCAATCAAATCAAAGATTCTAATTAGCAGTTCACACTGTAACTATATTACTAGTTAAATCATCACCGGAAGACATTAAAAGTAGCCTTTGGTGTGGATTAAAAGACAACTTACACTGTAACTGTATTACTAGGATTTCACTAAGCAAATGATTGATCTTCTCCAATATGTGGTGAAGGATCATTAAGTCAATTAAAAAACTGAATAGAAATGCATTATTTAGAACCAAACAGTAGGTGTTAGCAAATCAATAGATAATATACCAGAATGACAAAAGGAAACCATGCTCGTTCGCATAAAGCAAACTTTTATGTAAAGCATTAAAGAAGCAACTTTTACAAAAAAGTGACAACGTAACCCCAATAAAAGTTCATCAATCAGATCATGGAAAGCCACTATTTCCAACTTCAAAGCTTCTAAAGAATCGAGGAAGCTACAATTTAAACATGGACTCGTTCAAGTCGACAAATGATGGGATCCAAAGATACCATAGATTCATGGGCGTTATAGAGAGAAAGAGCATGCCACATAAAAATGGATAACTTTAGGATGAAAAATACAGAACTAATACGTTAGTTAAGAAAGCCTAATCAGACAACATAAAAATGCATATTTTTATAGTGAAAATACAGCACTATCATTAGTTATGGAGCCTATTCCACACGGAGGATAAAACAGCAAGCATATCTAATGTAAGCAACTTTGATTAGTAGTACCGTGAGCCCGTGTCATAAACTCGGCCCCCTGGATATGGACCTCTAGGATCCAAATTAGGATCTCGCGCAGAATTCCCAAGAAACCGAGCTCGTTCTCTGAAGGAATCAAAGTGTTCAGAATCATAATTTTGATGTGCTTGTCCAGCAGCGGCTAATGCTGTAACTCCACTGTTGCCACGAGGATCACCAGGGCCAATGCCACCATTTGGGTAATGGTCCACCATTCCCTTCTGATATTGATGTTGTCGCACACTTGATTCCCTTCGGAGTAACTCATCCCGACGACCAGCATGCCTAGCTCGAAGTGCTGCCAATTGTTCCTCATACTGAGCATTGATTGCAATAATTCTCTGAAGATATGCATCAGAATGAAATATGTTTAGTAAAGATGATATGGAAAACGAGAAGGCAACAATAAAAATGAAATAGGAATAAGCAAATATACATCTCTATGTCGAGCATTTTCCTCATCCTCTGCATCATTTTGTTCCTTGGCCAATTTAATGATGTCATCAATAAATTTCTGCTCAAGACCGTCAAAATTCTGTGGCAACAGACCCTCTCCAAACCTACTTTCCATGTTTTTTCCATGGGATTGAGATCTGGGATCACTGTTACTTCCTTTCTCAATAACCAATTTTGGATTAGGTCTCTGACCTTGAAAATATGATCTTGTGGCATCACCCCCTTGACCTATGTTAACAAGCATTTTCTCACTACAGGAATAAGGCAAAAATCCTTCATGTGGAGAATTGAATAACGACTAACGATACAAAATGAATGCAATATTTGCCAATAAAAAGGAAAATCTATAAATAAGGGGAAAGATAATAAATAATTTTTAAATAACAATGACTAAAAATCATACGTACACTGATTTGGCATTAAGGAACCATTTTTTTTCTTTCTTGATAACAACATGCGTGAATCCCTATCTAACTCAACCATCTACAGTACAGACCATCATCTGACCTTGGCTATAAGTGTATCTTTTGTGATAAGTCCTACGATACTAGGAATAACATTGGGAAAACAGGAGGAAATGAAACAACAGATCAAGTCCATATGACCACCACCACCAAGTATAGCTGAAAAATACTAAAAGCATCCAATCACGATTATGTAAATGAAAAAGAATATCTTGATAGCTCTAGAGTGGGGTACAATGAATCTCATATATTAATAGTTGTATTTCTTTTCCTACAACAGTTTGTTAATTTATCTGATATTTACAACTATATCATGTGAAGTAGAATTTATAGGTGTATTAAGGTAGTCAGGTTGCTAACTTCTTCTCCTCTTTCTAATTTCCCGCTTCATTTACCCAGTGGAAATACTCAATGTAGCAAGCACAGGTGAGAGCTTCAGACCACAAAACCAAGTAGACTAAATGTAGATGGGTGGGACGGTGTGCAACCAACAAAAGAATCAAATGAAACTGATTTGAGTACACAAGTACATAATACACATGGTTTATTTTACATTCTCTTAAAGGAGGACATTATAACGTACAAGTACAAAAAAGTCTGAGGAAAACAGGTGCAAAAACTATTAGTGACAGGAGAAGCAATATATTGCACATGGGATATAAACAAGTGATGGATGCAATACACACACTATTAATGCTTGCCTTCGTTGAACATGTGAGAGGCCATAGAATTCGACATCTTCGACTCATCTCTGTCCCATCGCCATTGATCCTCGTTTTTTGAAGCTACGTATGAATGCTCTCTCTCAGGAGTGAATGCTTCCAACCGTCCTTCAAAAGGATCAGGGTGGCTCTGTTCCACCATCTGACTAGGAACATGATGCATTTGAGAGACAGAATATGAGTTTATTCCTGAGTCAGAATATTGCCCCTGCTGTCTCATTATTACGACCACCTGGGTAAACAACCAAAACTTCAGACTGAAGAAAGTAGAATGAAGCTCGCGTGGATGGATTTGTACAGTCCAGTCCAGATAACAAATTACATAACAAGCAGAAGTAATAAGGATTGAACTAGATAACTTATTTGATAGCAAAATAAGAAGAAAGAGTCCCGTTTGTGAATTAGAGAGCAAAATAGCTAGTTCTAACTGACTATGAAAGTTTACTAGACACAGTTTCAGAAAGGAACACGCATAAACAGCATATTTAGGTCCTTCTGTGCCACCCTTTAAGCACTCTCCAATCCATCAGCTTCCCCATATTCAGATAAAATATCATTCTTTTCCAGGCTGCCACGCAATCTAATATACTTCAGGAACATAGTTCTCCAACTCAATGATTTAACCCAAACTAAAGTATCTAATAGCCCAAAATTCTAAGTATTCTTTAAACTGAAGTAGCCGTGACACCACATTCAGATACTTCACAGCTCAGTTTCTGAAGATTATACACACAAACACTTGCAATAACACCATTTTCAATACTTCTGCTCATTAAAATAACTAAAGAAAAACACGAATTCATGGACAAGGGAGCAGCAGATGCGAAACTACAAGCCCTAATCATCTCATGGAGGAACAAACAATATAGTAGTGATTATTGTAGATATAGCAAGAGTTTCGATCGAACGCACATAATTTAAAAACAAGATATCTTTGTACCTAATTTGAATTTTTCTATAATGGTGGGTTTAACCTTTCCGGATTGAAATCGAGTCCCGCGACGTCTCGGTCGAGTAGAGATGACAAACGAGGACGATCCAAATCGGGTCAGGTCAGATCCGCAGCGTGCCCGTATTAATGACCCGCTATACAAACCCTCGCAGCCATTTGATTTGTGTCCAAGGTCGTGTAAATTAATTTGAAAATGAAAATGAATTTCCATGGTTCTTATCGATTCAAATGATTTTTTTCTTACCACCTTCGACTACTTCGGTATATATATTTTTTTATAAAAAGTTAAAAAATCAAAAAATCTAATTCCAGTCCTCAAATGTCGTTTGACTAAAAAAAAATTATGATAATAAATAATATTTTAACCAATTAAATTATATTACAGTATTTCGAATATTGAAGGAGTTTTTCTAGCACAGCAAAAGTTAATCTTTGCACTCTACATTTTATGTACTAAACAAAATAAAATGAGATTAATATTAAAAAAATAATAAATATTCGTTCATTAAAATACAAACTAATTAATTACTTTTTTTAATACAATAGTAGGATTCGAATTTACTGACTTTTTTTTCATAAGAGATAAGTACCTTAATAGTTGAGTTTAATTTGAGTTAGCAAACTAATGACCTCAATTATTATTTAAAAAGTTTAGGCTCCATTTCATAACGATTTCATTTTTTGTTTTATGCTTTTATACACCATACTTAATATTATAATAAAAAATATGTTAGAAAAATATTGAGTATTAAAAATAAAGTAATAGTTTTTAAAATAGATTTATATTTTTCAAAAGCTCCTTCTTTTTTTCTTCTAATACTCAATATTTTTCTGACATATTTTTCCTTTTAATATTCAACTGGACGAATGAGAAATTTTTTTAATCTCTTGCCGTGTCTATGTTTGGAAGATTTCGATTAAAAGTGAGCAATGTTGACTAGGATAACTTCTTGCCTCTGAAAAAAAAAACAATATATAACTTATAGTATAATGTTATCTAAAAAATAATAATAGAAGAGAGATAGTAGATGTGTAAAATGATTTAGAAATAGGTGGTAGATATAATGAAGATTATCTAAAAATAATAAGTATAATAGAAGAGAGACGGGTAGAATTGTAAAATGTTTAAAAATTAAGATGTAGATATAATGAAATACATTTACATCATCCTATTATTTTTTGGAAATGATTCTGAATCCTGATGGGTCTTAGTACTTTATTTATTATTAATATTTTTTTTTTGTTGACAACAACCTTAGTACTTTTATTATTATTTTTCATTTTTATTTATCTATTTTTGTTTCCTTGGATAGACATGGCCCAGAAGGAGATCCAAATCTACGAAGCTAAAATTCGTCTTCAAGAAAATATATATATATTGGAAAATAAGAGATTGACTATTTAAGCTTTATGGAGTATTTTAGATTGTTAATTTATCATAAAAAAAATGATGGATGATAACTTAAGAGGTATGTATATAAATATAAGAAAACATGTTCAAATATAATTAAAAACAGAGTAGAACGTGTATAATTTTACAAAAATAGTAGGATGTCAACTAAATTCAAACTAAAATATAATATAAAACATATTAAAAAAATTACACTCAGTGAAGAAAAAGGAAGAAAAGTATTTTTAAAATACATATTAGATACATTATATGAAGTTATTTTTCTCTGAATATAACGATGGAGATATAAAATTTGGGTGCAAATTCTACCTGTGGTCTATTTTATGGGATAGAATATTTCAATAAAACCTCCCAAAAATACATATATATATAAAATGCTTAATCTTAAATTATACACGAAAACCTAACTTTTTTTAATACACTCTATTTGAGTATCTAGATTAGTAAATTTCATTAATTGAGTATCAGGAATATCTATTATTCGAGTGCCCTTTTAGTTGGGAGGTTTGATCTGGCATGTTTGCTTCGACTGGTTCTTCTCACCAGATTTCATATTGGTCTATTTGGATTTGTCACAAATCTGCTCGTTGTTGTGTGTGGCGCTTGACATGAACTTCGACTGTTTCTTTTATTTGGAGGGAGTGTAATACTAGAGTTCATGCGGGTGAGGTGGGTAAGTCGCCGTATGTCCTCATGCGGGCCTTGAAAGCTTGAGGTTTATTATCGTTGTACTTCTTGACTTGTGAGCTACTATTTGAGTTATGATCCTATGTTTGTCTCGACTTTGTATTTGTTTTATTAAGTTACATGTCTTAATTTTTGTTTTGTGTTTATCATTTGGGTGTTGTGTCTTGATCTCGGGTTGTGAGATCTTCTGTTTTTGTTTAATATATTTATATTTGCAAAAAAAAAAGTAATAAATTAATTATTTGTCATCCGTCTAGAAGGTTGAAAATGAATTTACAAACTGTTGGTATTTCCATGCTATTTTTATTTAATAATTTATAAAACTTAACAATAATAACTAAATTGCAGTAAAAAAAAACAATAATAACTAAATTATTTTTGCATACAAAGTTAAAAGAGAAAAAAACACCAAAAAAAGTCGGAGATAAAAAGGAAATTTTAACCAAATATTAATGTGGCATGGCATAGAAGGTTATTCTTTTCCTTCTTTTTGGAAAGGTATAAAAGGTAACGATATTCTTTATTTATTTATTTATTTTTTTGAAACGGTAACGATATTCCAATTTACTTTAATTTCTAAAAAAAAATAAAAATTACTTGAAACTATAATGAATACAGTTCCGGTAACCATGACTTTTGGAAGCAAGGAGCTGTAAAATGCAACTCGCGAACAGACAGGATGGAATTTTCTCTCTCACACCTTTTTTTTTTCCTTTTTTTTGTCTGTTAATTCCCAAGTCAGCCGATAAAGCGGACAATTTGCCGGACCGTCTATAAGAGAAACACCCACGAAAAAATGGATTTTAGCGATGTTCATTATGCCGGAGAAGTTGCATCATTAAATTCCCAGGGTTGGAATTTTGCCTGCCATGGATCGATGGGTTCATAGGTTCAGGCATCGCCTCCTCGCTTGGTTCCACCGATCTCGTTCCGGTACTTCACTTTTGTCTGCTTCTTTTATTTTAATTCTCATTTCTATGTGTTTGTATCTGTAATTTATTTGTTACCCATATTCAATTTTGTCTCGAGCTGGTGGAAAATTTACGAGACGAAGGTAATTTCATATCTGGTCAATTGAATTCCGTCAGGCTTTGAAACGATTGTTGATGGTTGTGGTTGAATTATGAGGCTTCTCCGCAGCATTGGCTGTAAACTGTTGTGTTGGATTATGGAAATTGTACACGATACGGAATTGAATGTTGACTGCGCTTTCCTATGATCTTTTTACAAGCAAAATTGCAGGACAAATTTTTGCTACATTAATCATATAAATTATCAAATAACCCATTGCTCTTTCTGCATTTTCCCTTCTTTCAGCGCTCTAAAATTCAACTGACCTGAGATAATTATCATATGTTTTTCTGCAATCACGTTATCTGACTTTTCTATGTCTGGAAGAAAGTGCCTGAATATAACTCAACTGGCTTTCTATTTTAGTGCCAATATTATACGTGAGGCGTTTTCCGTACAAAGAAATAAAAAGGGCAACTGGTGGGTTCAACACAATTGTCTATAGCAATGCTCGCAATGCTGCTTATAAAGCTAAATTTCTAGATGGCAGAGTCACGCTGGTGAAAGAACTGAGTTTGAATGATGATACCTTCACCACAGAAGTGCAGCTCCTCGGACGCTTGCACCACCGCCATCTTCTTGCATTG